TATATATATATATATATATATATATATATATATATATATATATATTATAATCCATAATATGTTAAATGATACTTTAATCATTGGTAAAAAGTCACGGGAAAATGTATTTGCTATAAAAGTTATTGGGGAAGTAGGTTGGAAATCACACTAGATTTTTAATCAATTTTGCTAAAGTGAAAACTAAATAAATTGTATGTATCAAGTAGCAACTGTTGTGTTAATCCAACTAACATAACTGTCATGATAGTTAACTTATTTTATTGTTCATATATACATCTCTTTAGTAATACTATTAGTAGTAGTTAATGAGAAATAAACTCGTTTTCTCTCTCCCTCCTTCAATGCATAACTCTGTCAAACACGTTAAGCAGCTAATAGTGGCAAGAGCTAGGTTGTGAGATATGGTGGAGAGTTGTAAAGCCCAAAGAAGACGTTTCAAGAAGAGAAATCTCATGGAGTAGTGATGGCTGAAATGGTTCACAGCAACTTGCCAGTGTTTGATGGTAAAGGCTACGACGATTGGTGCGTTAAGATGAACGTGATCCTTGGTTTTCAAGAAGTGGATGAAATTGTCAAGAAAGGTTTCAAAGAACCTTTGAAGGGTGATTCATAAGAGTTGAGGAAACTGTACAAAGATAAAAAGAGGCTGGAGTGCAAAGCACGCATGTTGTTGCACCAGTGCATATCTGCGACAATTTTCCAGAAAGTATCAAAGGCTGCCATGACAAAGGAAGTATGGGATATAGTGCAAGAGGGCTATGGCAACTCTGGAATGGGCAAGAAGATCATGTTGAAATATCTACAAAGGCATTATGAACTCTTGAGCATGGTAGAGCAAGAAACAGTTGTTGAGTATGTTGGAAGAATCCAAGTCGTGGCTAACGCGATGAGAGCTTGTGACAAGATAATAAAAGACCAGAAGAATGTTGAGAAAATACTCAGAACCTTAACACCTCAGTATGATCATATTGTTGTAGCCATAGAAGAATGTGAGGATCTTGAAACGATGAGAGTGAAAGAGTTGTAGAATTCTCTTGAAGCGCATGAGCAGAGATTAATAGAAAGAAAGATTGTAGGAAAGGGTGTAATTCAAGGCACAAATCAAGACTTGCAAGCCATAAATAATCAAAGTTTCAAGGGCCATGGAGCTGGAAGGGGCAGAGGGAGATCACGAGGTGGAGGAACTGGAGGTAACAATGTAAAACCCTCTGAACAAACCGCGAAAGACAATGGCAGTGAACAAAAGGAGGGAAACAAGAGAGGAGGAAGGCAATTTAGAGGTAGAGGCAGAAAAGGCTATGATAAAAGAAACGTTCAATGCTACACCTGTAACAAATACGTGTACTATTCTGCAGAGTGCTGGCCCAACGAATCCACGAAGAAAAACAAGAATGATGAAGCGGCTAACCTTGCACAAGACACTTGTGATTCAGAGTCTGATCATGTATTATTAATGAGCAATGTGGAAGAGGCTGAAGATGATTTGTGTTGGAGGTTGATGCGAGACAGGTGTGTAAAAGAACAAGATCGCTTGCGAGACAGGTGTACCCAGGATGTGAGTCATGCACTGGACAGGTGTAATTGTGAAGATGACCATATGTTGCTGTCGAAATAATCGAACCACGTAGAGGATGAAACGAGTTGGTATTTGGACACAGGGTGTTCCAACCACGTGACAGGTAAGAGAGATTGGCTGCTGATCGATCTAGACACAAGTATAAAGAGTAGTGTAAGACTTGCATATAATAATGTGATCATGACTAAAGGAGCGGGCAAGGTCTTGATCACACACAAGGATGGCATATCCACATATGTGAATAATGTGTTGTATGTTCCGACGATGAAGAGTAACTTGTTGAGTCTGGGACAACTGCTAGAGAAAGGCTACACAATGTCGATGCAACAAAGGCACATAGAGGTGTTTGATGAAAGGCAACGTCTTATGCTCAAGGCTCCTCTTGCCAGAAACAGAACGTTTAAGGTGAATCTAAATGTTGCTGATGTTCAGTGTTTTGTTGCTGTTAACGTTGAGGATGAAGGATGGTTGTGGCACTACAGATTCGGGCATTTGAATTTTAAGAGTTTGGGTCAGTTGAAGAGAAAAGAATTAGTAAAGGGAGTTCCAGTGACCACTGCACCAAACAAGATTTGTGAAGGCTGTGCAGTTGGGAAAGAGGCTAGAAAGATGTTTAAGAAGTTTGCTCCCAAGAGAGCAAAACAGTTGTTGGACGTTGTAAACTTAGATTTGTGTGGCCCCTTTGACGTGTCATCCCTTGGAGGTAACAAATACTTTCTAATTTTTGTAGATGAATGGTCCATGAAAATCTGGGTTTATCTGTTAAAAGAAAAGAAAGAAGTATACACTTACTTTGTGAAATTCTACTCTTTGGTGGAGAGACAATCTGGCTTGCAGATCATAACCTTCAGGACTGATGGTGGAGGTGAATTTAATTTTGGTGAAATGGGTAGATTTTGTGATGACAAAGGAGTTGTACATGAAATGATTGCTCCATATGTCGGAACAATCGGTACCGTTATAGAGTCGCGCAGCGGAATAAAATATTCGAAAAGCGTGCTACGGTCACAAATCAAGTTTTGATGGTCCGTTTTAGAAAAACAATTTTCTTAGAGAAAATTTATCAAATAGTTGATGTGCATAAAACATAAAAGAGTATAGGGAGTAAAAAAATTAACACACTGGATTTTTATCCTCGTTCGATTCAAAAGAATCTACGTCCAGTTGTTAATCACTACAAAAAGTGATTAACGATTTCACTAACATCAGTTTCAACAAATTACAATAAAAGTGAATAAAAATAGAGAGATAAAACCTTCCTTCCACCAACGAACTGGAAGCAAGCAATCTACACTTTCCTTCGACTGACGAACCGGAACAGTGCAGAACATTTCTTCCTTCGACCAATGAACTGGAAGAATAGTAGCGTTGCCAACTCGAAGACAATAGCTCCGACCTTTGACCCAAAAAGCGCGAGCTTATCCTTTTCACGAGACTAGGCAGTGCAATGAACTAGCTTATGGAACTTCCTCAGATCACACTGTATTCTCAAAAGCTCAGAGTTTCGTTCTAAGAGTTTTGGAACTAACCTATATAGCCAACTGGTCTATGTTTGCAGAGATGAATTATAACTGCCACAGATAATCGATTATTGTTAGTGATAATCGATTATTCGAGTCCGTTACAGGGTTTTTAAAAAAGTGATAATCGATTATCCTGAGGAATAATCGATTATTCCAGAGACTTTGGCAGTTCTCATCAGAACTAGTGATAATCGATTATTTGGAGTAATAATCGATTATTCCAGAGCAACGAGGTTTTTCAGAAGGGCTCAGGATAATCGATTATAGCTTCTAATAATCGATTAAATGCGTAGCAGTGCTAAAAATATGAATTTTTCTAAGTATTACATGTTTAAGGCTTTTCCTAATACATTTATAATCTACAAAGTGCTTTTAAAACAACTATAACAATCTATCGTCTTTCAGCATCATCAAAATCATTTATCTTCAATTTTACCAATGCTCCTCATTGGTAACAATCTCCCCCTTTTTGATGATGATAAAAAATCACTTTTTAAAAGCAACTTTTGGGTTATCTGCAAAAGATACAAACTGACAAACAACAATAATAGTTAGTAGTAACTGCACATATTTCTCCCCCTTTTTGATCATAAGCAAAAAGAGTTATAATGCTCCCCCTTAATATGAGCTCCCCCTCAATTAAACATTGTATGTACTAAAACAATAGATCATTTTATTCATGAAAATATTAAAGATTACAAGGGCACATAAATCTAGACATGAACATGATAAAACATCCTAGGAATTCAAATCAAACAAACATGAAAGCACACTAACATATATAAAGTCCTAAATCTAAAACTCAAGACTTGGTGGTCTCTCTGGAGGTTGGAGATTAAAGTGATTTTCAATGTTTCCAATGCGAGTATCAAGGTCATTGAACTGGTCGATCACAAATTCTTCATGATTTTGTTGCCACTCATATATTTGTTCAAAGTGAG